AGATACACTGGACTTCAGTGATCAAGTTGAGATCCAAGCTTGGTCTTATTTATAGATACGTATATGGGTGTGTCGGCACATTGTTCTAGCCATCTTAGCTTGAGTTTAAATTCATATAAACATTGAATATTTGTATTTAGTAAAAATCTGCATAAGTGATATACTGTAAGCCAGCATTCGAAATAATCATGCAAACTACCAAATTAAGTAGGAATGTGTTAATTAAATGTGCATAAAACTGGGAAATATTAACACTTTGGTAATTCCTTGTGTAATTCCCAGCTGTTCAGGGTTGGTAAATGCCATGTTGGATATAAAAGATATATAGATCAGGTGCATGTGCATTTCTGTTAATCTGAAATATATTAGTATGAAGAAAAAACAAATATATATTTGCGTGTGTTTTTCTTCAATTTTGTCTTTCATATATATATATATATATATATATATATATTTTTTTTTTTTTTTTTTTTTTAAGATTAAAAAGTAGACAAATGTTGGTATATGCAGCATCTTACATTGTAAAGCACATTATCTCCCTGTATTCACATGTATGTATGTACACAGGGGCGGATTTAGGCCGTCTTCTGGGTCTTCCGGAAGACGGTCAGATTTTCAAGTCTGCATTGACGGTATTTATTTTTTTCTGTTGGAAGACGGTCAAAATTGGAGGATGAATCAACAAAGATAATTTGGAAGACTGTCAGTAAATAGCTCTGGATCTGCTCCTGCTACAAATCCTGAATTTAATGAAGACATCAGAAAGGGTTACTTCAAAAACTTCTAGGAATTTTGGGAGACAAATTTAGTTGAAATACACTTTTGTAAGAGAAGTGCTTTGCTATCTTTTTGAATTGACTTTGGAAAACTGTGGAAGGAAGATTGTCAGCCTGAATGCCTGCTTTTTTACTGCAAATGTCACCTTGGGTTTGAATATTAGATATCAGATATCAGTTATTTGTAAATACTTCATACTTTCTTTTTGTATATAGTATTCTGAAAAAAAAGAAAGAAAAGAAAACTGAGGCTGTCAATTACTGATGTGAAAATGAGTCTATTAGACATGATGCCAATCAGAAATATCTAAGATGACCAAAAAGATGGCCCTTGCTTGCAGAAATGGCTTCCTATTAAATATCATATCCCTAATGTGTTGTCTCGATTCATCTGTTCTCAGGACACATGCTGTGCTACGATGACTTTCTTTTTAAGCACAGAAGACACATCCATACTTTTTGAAGTTTGATTCCAGCCCGTCTGAATGAAAAATGTGTAAGAGGTATACTTTATTGAAGTTTATACATGTAGACGTGTAGGATTTTGTCGATGCTAAATACAAAAGATACATTTTAAGTGAGAGAGGTTTGTGTCTGAACACTCCATCCCTGAATCTCATCCCATAGCTTTTTTTTTTTTTTTTTTTTTATGAGTGATGCACATAAACAATAGAGCAAAGCAATTGAGCAAAAATATTTTCATCCAGCAGTGGCACCTTTTGATAGAATCTTTCTTAATCCTACATGTAATACCGGTACATGTACATTAAATGCATAATGACAAACTGCCTTATGGATAAAACTCTGTTCATTTATAGGCATTCCATGTTTTTAGTGATTATTCCCTATTGTATTTAGATGCAATTCTCATGTACGTAATTTATTAGACAAAAGACTGGTGCATTTGGAGCAATGAGACATTGGCAACCCTTTGGACAACAACTATTTCCAAATACTTTTTCTGCTTTTCTAGACATAAATGCACCTTTGGCTTTAATTCAATAATGTTCATACCCAGTAAATATTTCTATAAATTCTTTACATTGTTTGTAGCATATATCGTTAAATCTAGGTAAAAACATGGTTCAATTTTGAGAGAAAAATGATTAAAAACCATTTGGTGCAAACAATTACCACTGAACCTGCTTGGTGTACTGTCAGTGTTTTGATCATGTCATATTTAAGGTATATAATCATAGATCTGTCTTTCATGTTTAAAATATAATGGTGCACAATAACCTTTGTTTTTAGCTAAGAATTACAATTTCTAAACATTCTGTAAAAGAAGAAATGGAAGATATCCATGAGTTGACTACATATTTATATCTTAGAGTGATTTTGCCTGCCTGCAGATTCTGCTAGATTGAAAATATGCAGGGGTGAAAAGAAAACAAAATGCTCAAATTGCTCACCATTTTTCAATCCACATTTTCCACCTACGGAACCACAGAAAAATTGACATTTTTCTTTTTTTCTATTAGTGTTCTAGGTAAAGCAACAATATATTTTGTCGTGCTTTTGAAATGCTTTTACCTGAAAGACAAGTTACACGTTCCTAGGTAAATGACTTTTCAGTGTTTATATTTGAGGTTGAGTGAAATTGCAATCTGTTACAGATTCTGTGAATGAACTGCAATACATCAGAATTCCGGGTGTTGTGCTGTTTCATCATTTCACTTTGATATACGTTGTTTCTATCTGGTACAGATATAGAGATGCAGGCAAAACTCATTTCCTGGATATTATAACCACTGAGATACCTGAGGGAATAAGTAGTCTGACACCTTAGTAGAATGATAATATTGGGCAGTGTAGATATAAGCTAGCTAATCTGCAGGCACAATAGCCATGCATGATCGCATTAAGGCTAAGACCTACAAGTAATATAGGGATGAATTAAGATGTAAGGTTTCTTATTATCTTGCCATCATTTCTCCTTAGCCTTAAGGTAAATGAAAATTGAATGAAAACTGCTTGTGTATTTTGCATTGACATTAGTGTTCAGTTCACAAAAATTACCAAGGGTCGTAAGCTGTATGTAAGGGAAAAAACATGGTAAGTAGCTATCCAGGTTTAAATTGTCTTGGTAATTTCCAGTATGCATTCATCAAAATAAAACTGTGATTGCAGTTTGGGAGTAAAAGCATTAATACATCTTTTCTACACTTCACTTGGCAAGTTTCTGTATTTACAAATGGAATTTTAGAGAGAATATTTAGTGAGGGTAGGGGGAGAAAGTTAGGGGTCCTAGGGGGCATGCCTGTCCTCTGTTTCTCCCTCTCGACCTCCCCTATACCTTATTAGATTTCTAGTATCGGATATTGAAGGTTCTGTCACAGAATTATTTTCATTTGTTGAGTGATTATTAGATAACATATCCCCAGTTATGAACATTATTTTCAGTTATGAAATATTCTGCTAAAGGAGGGGGGGGGGGAGAAAACAGGCAATGCATGAAAGTGAATAAAATCAAAGAAATGTACTAGTTCTTTTTTATTAAAAAATAAAATATACTTCCCAAAAATGCAATAAAGTATACTGAGATGAAGTGCAGTATCCTACAGATAATGCAGTATTGGCATTTTGGGAGGAAAAATAAAATACTGTTTTGGGTTTTGGAATGTTCTCTAGCACCAGAGTAGCTATCAAAAACTGCAATATAAAATTTAAAATGAGTGAAAGCACTACAGAAGGATATCACAAAATTCCCTTAAATGACTTCCCTTTAACTTTATCAGTTTTCACTTGAAATTAGGTAAATTTCGTATTACAATTGACTGTTCACTTCAGAAGGTGATAATTAACTTACAAATTAACAAACAAATTCATCAACAATCCCTAACACCAATCTGTAGGCCATATATGCTTATTTACAAGTACAGTATTTTTCATAGTAATCAGTTGCTTAGATAGAAAGATATACATGAAACTGATTTATATATATCAGTCTTAAGGGTTGTAAAAGCAGAAAAAATCAGGCAGGTTAACAGAGCTTACAGTAAATTACTTTGCTGCCAGCTTTTCCTTTTATGTGTCTGTTGATCAGATCGATGATATAATGCAACCTCAGATACTGTACATGTATGTTTTTATTATTTATAAACAAAAACATGAAAAACAGATTAACTAGAGAAATCCCAAAAATGCTGATATGGTGTCACATGTTGGACACTGCCCTTTAACTTTATCTATGATTGGAGTTTTGAAAAAGCATATTTTATTTTATTCAATATGAAATAAGAAACATTGCATTACCTTTATGATTATTCATTTCCTTTCTAGAGCCCTTAAATGATTTGCGTGGATACTTAAAAAACTGCTTGTGTATAGACTTTCAGATCATTTGAAGTTACAGTCAGTGATCTGCAAATTCTAATTGAAAAAATAAGTCCTTAAAATTTGATTTCATGTACACATTGGGGGTTAAACATATAAGGCTGCGTTCACATGAAAAATCTAAATTCTAAAAACCTAAAAATCCATTGGCGGTATCTAGTGATCACTGTCTGTGCCCTGAATACCCTACGGCTTAATTAACGAGCAGCGTGAGCGAGTCGTTTCCAAAGCTGTAATTAATTCTCAGCTGCACCCGGAGGAGAGTCTGACACCTGGACGCCTGCGCAATTGTATCTCTAAACTGTGGATTTCGTCAGTTTGCACTCATATCTGTCATGTGTATATGGACCTCATCTTCCTCGTCTTGTTGTTGCACAAAATCGACAAACACATTTTTCAAAGCAACTTTGACCGTCATTTTCTTTCTCTCTGTGCATGCGTCCAGGTATCAGAATTTCCTTCGAGTGCAACCGAGATTTAATTACAGCTTTGGAAGTAACTCGCTCGCTCTGCTAGTTAATTACGCTGCGGGGTATTCAGGGCACAGACCGTGATCACTAGATACAGCCAATGGATTTTAGGTTTTTAGAATTTAGATTTTTCATGTGAACGCAGCCAAACACTGGGTTCCCATACCTAAATCGATCAATCTGGATCAGTCTAACTCCCTGGGGAGTCTCACTAAATTGCTATCAACTAACTGGCTTAAATGTCTGTCACGCCTACCAAATCAGCTAGGGGGTAAAGATAATTACCCCCTAACAGCTTTACTAGGCGTGACAAACATTTAAACTGGTTGAGTTGATAGCAATTTAGTGAGGCTCCCCAGTGAGATAGATCAATCCAAATATCTGTGGGAATGGTCCCTAAGTGTATGGCAAGGATGACAACTGGTTAAACAGTAGAGGCCGCCATTGCTACTTGTTGCATTGTTTTTGCACATTTGTGTTAAGGTGATTATGTTATCTACTTAAAATAAGTACATGTAGTCTACTAGTAAGATCCCTTGAAAGCTTTCTAATTTAGAAGGAAGTGTGAGTATGTAATCCCACAGGGCTAATTGCTAAATGATTACTTGCATTATGCAGATTGCGAGTCATTACTCATAGGTTATGAAAATTTCATTTTGTGTTGACAAGCTGTTGTTCACATTTGAATTAGCTTATGAAAGTGTACATTGCTACTTTTTCAAGATATTTGGTCATTGTTAATTTCATTAAGAAGTTGATTAATAATTGACATCATAATGTCAATGGAAAAATACCTGTCTGTATATATGTTATTCATTTTATGATTTTTCAACAACCAAAAACATTTTTGCATTCATTATCTACAGTTATAATACATATTGGAGAGCTCTTGAAAAATATCATTATAACTGGCATTCTTATCAGTCAAATAGAATTGTCAAACCACTAAAGTAATGGTTTGATAAGATAAGAAGTAATGTGGTAAAATGTTGTTTGGTACCACTGTATACACCAGTACTTTAACTTGATAATATGTTTGCTTTAGGGTATCCTAAATCTTTGATTTTCATGCTATGTCGAATTTTCCTCCAGAAAAAAAAAACTTTTCTCCTACTGACATGTATCATTGCTCAACTTGTCCCTTTACTTGGACGCTATTTTTATACCATTTCTAATAAATTTAATAATCCTATTCTAAATGTTTAGTCAGACATTTAGACTGCTGCATCTTCCTGTTCATTCCAGAAGGGAATATTAATTGACATCATGTTCTTTTATTTGAGGGTTTTTATTGTTTTTAAGGACTGAATTGGGAAAGATAAATAGATTTGCAGAATATCAAGACAGAGAAAATATCTCAGTGGGACATTTATAAACATGTATAGTATACCTTTAGTATACAGTGCCATCTGATCAAATATACAAGAGAAAGATGTTGTGGGTAAAAGCTCTAGATTTGTGAATTAACAGTTCAGAGAGCTACATGTAGCTGGTGTACATAACTGTGGCTGAGGGCAATTATTTTACAGAGTATAATTTTTTTCAGACATTTTGTCTTCCATTATCGTACATACTGGTATACTGCCTTGCAGTAAAATGTCTTGAATTGTCATATCCTGATGGAATTACTTCATATGTAGTGGAACATTAATTCTCACCAGTCATGTTATATCAGCTTCATTGGCTGGAATACCCACACAGTATACATACAGAGTGAATGTCGAATGGAGGCTGCATGATCCAGTAATTGAGTGACACACAATTTGCAATTTCATACAGCTGAGCTGCAGCATTATTAGTTTACTAGGCATATATAGAGATGACATCAAGCAGGAGATAATAACTCGTCTTGACTTTTGTCATGGATTCTCAAAAAAATATGCTGATGTCTCTGACTGTCTTCAAACAGGCTTTAATGCGACTTTGATTATTTTCTTGACTCAATACTTATCGAAGCCATTGGGATATTAATTGTATGTCATTTTTTAAAAGCAGATGGATCAATTTTCTCTGTTTGAGATTGAGAACTCAATTGAAACCAGAGTGCTGTTACTGGTGACTGCGTAGGCATCAAGAAACAAGTTGAAGGTGTTTCCAGTGGGTGCCTGTGTCAATGTTTCCAAGTAATGAAAAATCTTTTTTATTTCAGATTGTGCAGGGGACTACTAGTATACAGATGAAGTTAATAGCATGAATTTTTGAATCACCTGCACAATTCACTTCTGCTTTGTGTGGATCTAGGTAATAAGAATTCTGCTAGTAAAGGTATATTGTATATGGCAGGAAATTTAGCCTTCTACCAATTTCATAGAGAAAATAGGTTTTAGCAAAAGATGGCTTTGCCAGGATGTAATTATTTATATCATAACCAATATCGAGGAGTGTTAATTTACTCACATTGAGCAAGATGTCAATACATGGAACATATACGAACATCCCTTTAAACATCTTGCTTTACTGATGTGTGATCATACCAGTTCAGAGTTTGCTTGACTTGCAGATGGACCTCAGCAAGCAAAGAATGTGCATTCTCTTTGGAAACGCATTAGTGTTTCAGCCAGTGATCACCAGTACATGTGACAAGTAGAGCTAGAAGTGAGCAACATACATTTCTGGGAACTTGAGTTCTTTTACTTTCTGAGTCAAATATCACAGAGTGCAAGGCCTAGGTTGCTAGTGCCACACCCTTCTGCCAGCTATCATGTCGGAGAAAAAGAAAGCTGCTACTGCACCCAGGAAATTTTCCAAATGTAAGAGTGCCACNAAAGCTTTCTAATTTAGAAGGAAGTGTGAGTATGTAATCCCACAGGGCTAATTGCTAAATGATTACTTGCATTATGCAGATTGCGAGTCATTACTCATAGGTTATGAAAATTTCATTTTGTGTTGACAAGCTGTTGTTCACATTTGAATTAGCTTATGAAAGTGTACATTGCTACTTTTTCAAGATATTTGGTCATTGTTAATTTCATTAAGAAGTTGATTAATAATTGACATCATAATGTCAATGGAAAAATACCTGTCTGTATATATATTATTCATTTTATGATTTTTCAACAACCAAAAACATTTTTGCATTCATTATCTACAGTTATAATACATATTGGAGAGCTCTTGAAAAATATCATTATAACTGGCATTCTTATCAGTCAAATAGAATTGTCAAACCACTAAAGTAATGGTTTGATAAGATAAGAAGTAATGTGGTAAAATGTTGTTTGGTACCACTGTATACACCAGTACTTTAACTTGATAATATGTTTGCTTTAGGGTATCCTAAATCTTTGATTTTCATGCTATGTCGAATTTTCCTCCAGAAAAAAAAAACTTTTCTCCTACTGACATGTATCATTGCTCAACTTGTCCCTTTACTTGGACGCTATTTTTATACCATTTCTAATAAATTTAATAATCCTATTCTAAATGTTTAGTCAGACATTTAGACTGCTGCATCTTCCTGTTCATTCCAGAAGGGAATATTAATTGACATCATGTTCTTTTATTTGAGGGTTTTTATTGTTTTTAAGGACTGAATTGGGAAAGATAAATAGATTTGCAGAATATCAAGACAGAGAAAATATCTCAGTGGGACATTTATAAACATGTATAGTATACCTTTAGTATACAGTGCCATCTGATCAAATATACAAGAGAAAGATGTTGTGGGTAAAAGCTCTAGATTTGTGAATTAACAGTTCAGAGAGCTACATGTAGCTGGTGTACATAACTGTGGCTGAGGGCAATTATTTTACAGAGTATAATTTTTTTCAGACATTATGTCTTCCATTATCGTACATACTGGTATACTGCCTTGCAGTAAAATGTCTTGAATTGTCATATCCTGATGGAATTACTTCATATGTAGTGGAACATTAATTCTCACCAGTCATGTTATATCAGCTTCATTGGCTGGAATACCCACACAGTATACATACAGAGTGAATGTCGAATGGAGGCTGCATGATCCAGTAATTGAGTGACACACAATTTGCAATTTCATACAGCTGAGCTGCAGCATTATTAGTTTACTAGGCATATATAGAGATGACATCAAGCAGGAGATAATAACTCGTCTTGACTTTTGTCATGGATTCTCAAAAAAATATGCTGATGTCTCTGACTGTCTTCAAACAGGCTTTAATGCGACTTTGATTATTTTCTTGACTCAATACTTATCGAAGCCATTGGGATATTAATTGTATGTCATTTTTTAAAAGCAGATGGATCAATTTTCTCTGTTTGAGATTGAGAACTCAATTGAAACCAGAGTGCTGTTACTGGTGACTGCGTAGGCATCAAGAAACAAGTTGAAGGTGTTTCCAGTGGGTGCCTGTGTCAATGTTTCCAAGTAATGAAAAATCTTTTTTATTTCAGATTGTGCAGGGGACTACTAGTATACAGATGAAGTTAATAGCATGAATTTTTGAATCACCTGCACAATTCACTTCTGCTTTGTGTGGATCTAGGTAATAAGAATTCTGCTAGTAAAGGTATATTGTATATGGCAGGAAATTTAGCCTTCTACCAATTTCATAGAGAAAATAGGTTTTAGCAAAAGATGGCTTTGCCAGGATGTAATTATTTATATCATAACCAATATCGAGGAGTGTTAATTTACTCACATTGAGCAAGATGTCAATACATGGATCATATACGAACATCCCTTTAAACATCTTGCTTTACTGATGTGTGATCATACCAGTTCAGAGTTTGCTTGACTTGCAGATGGACCTCAGCAAGCAAAGAATGTGCATTCTCTTTGGAAACGCATTAGTGTTTCAGCCAGTGATCACCAGTACATGTGACAAGTAGAGCTAGAAGTGAGCAACATACATTTCTGGGAACTTGAGTTCTTTTACTTTCTGAGTCAAATATCACAGAGTGCAAGGCCTAGGTTGCTAGTGCCACACCCTTCTGCCAGCTATCATGTCGGAGAAAAAGAAAGCTGCTACTGCACCCAGGAAATTTTCCAAATGTAAGAGTGCCACATTCACTTTGGATGGAGCAAGATACACCATAGGTATGTTATTGTTGGTCTTTGATGTATTGATGTGTATGTCATACTAAAGTACTATAAAGAGGGGAAAGGGGGGAAGGCAATGAAATTGGCATTTTCTCCCTCCCACTCCCAACTATACGCATATTTGTTTTTTTCCCTTTTTCTGCAACAATTTTTGTTTTTTGTTTCCACAAATGTTTATCGATATATATGTGCAGGGGACCTAAAGTTGTATTATGTCAGCCATTTAATGCTAGAAATGGTTCTTTTTTTACAAAAATAATCTTGCTTAAGATCCTGGTTTCAGACATTTCAGAATGACAGATGATCTGTTCTATGTTGACATCCTGCAACCAGTATTTCCTTTTAAGAAAACTCCCTTCTTCACAGACAAATTCTCTCTTTCTCTAATCCAAATATAGCACTTACTGTGTAAATAGACTTGCTTGCAGTGTTGATTTTAAGGCATTTGTAATGTTTTTAGTGATCTGACTTTAATATTAAATGAATGAAAAAAGATCAATATTGAATTAAACAGATCTTTATACCAGCATGAAACATATGCAGTAAATATGGATTAAAAACCCCTCTTTGAATTATGCATAAACTGTGCCTGAATTCATAACAAAGTATTTTTAAGGTAGAAAAGTGTGAATAAAAGTCGCTCAATACATTGTACAGCTTGGCCATTAAGTATTAAGCACCAAGTGCTGTACAAGTCTACACTGTCAAATCAAATGTACATATGTCATTTTTTAATAATCCCAATGCGGGTTTATTTCCATAATGCTGTCACTTCGATGCCAGTGTTGAAGATTAGAGCAGTACCAAGCTGTTCCACTGTGTGGATGGATTGGCACATTAAGACTATTTACTATTGTTATGCTGATACAGCTGCATGATATGTCAAAAGTTTGTACTTTAACTTCACATTCAATACAGTTGGGATATATCGACTGGGTGGCTAGTAGATCGTATACTTTAGGTGTCAACATAGACATGCAAACTAGATCTGTAAGAGGGATTGGCCATTTTTGACAGCCTTTAACTCAGCTCTTAGAGCCGTATACCCTTTTAATGTCCCCCTCTCTCCCCCCCCCCCCAAAAAAAAAGATGATTAAATGAATAATTAAATAAAGCATCAAATGAAAAAAATATGCCTAAAATTGGTGAAGTGAATGAATAACTGCAAAATCATATGATGATTATACTCTAGCAATAAAGGTCAAGTTAAGTTAAGGGCCTGGGTCCACTCCCGTTTTTGGGCCACAGCGAAGAGCCCACTCCCTGTTCTGGGCCACAGCCTTAGGGTCACTACCAGTGCCCTGTTTCCAGGTCACAGTTCAGGACTCACTACTCTTTTTGGGCTGTTTTAGTTTTACATGTGCCCATTGGATGTAGGCTATTCTCTTTATTATAGTGACTGTCACAGTAACTGGGGATCAATTTTCAATAAGATTTAATATGATCTATTTCATATCTGAAACATTTGAGGAAAATGTTTGTTTTAAGATTATAAAAGAATTGAGACTTCTTCATACAAAAGAAATATGTGATGTTTTTTAGGAAGCAGGCAGCAAATTTGGTGCAGTTCGGTTGAAAACAAGAGCCATTAGTGAAATCATATTTTTGTTAATTGGGGCCTGTCTTGATCAATTCAGAACAAACCCTATCAACAATTTTAGCCAGTGGTACTAATGAGGCCATCATTAATGTAACAAACCAGTGCTGCTTGGATCTTGCTTGTTTTTGTATGAAATTTTCCCAGCTTGATAACGAAGCTGTTTGTCAGCATTATACTAAGCATCACGGTGGTCATTTTGGAAACATTATAATGCCCATTTTGTACCTTAATGACAGAAAACAATCAGAACTATGTACATTTGAAAGCTTTATGTATCAAGTGATGATTTCTGGTGGTTCAGCCTAATTTACCAGTACATTTATATACAGTACTATGGGATGTACAGCACTATGGGATGTATCTGAGCATTTTAGTGCATAAATCCATTATCTTAAGCTATCAAACACCATGCGTGAAAATGGATGGAGGGAAAAATGGGAACAGAGAGCATGAATAGAATTTATTCATGAATGTAACCATTCAGGTAAAAAATAGAAGAAGAGATACATTGGGTTTGAATGTGAATGGATGTTGGTACATGTTAAGTTTCAGTTGGAATATATATATATATATATATATATATATATATATATATATATATATATATATATATATATATATATACTACTTGCAATTGGTAGGTAACAAGAATGAGAAAAAATGATTGCATAAGAGTATGAAAGGAAAATAGATTATAAAACAGAATGGGAACATCAGAATATGACATTCAATACAAAGAGTATAAAAAGAATGGGTATAATCAAAATAAAATGGAATAGATATAAAACATATATATGTTTACTTTTGACTTTTTGATACCTTTCATTTCTTTGTCTCATATAGAGACACTTAGCTGGCTTACTGTCAGATCTTTGAAAATCCTCCTGTCTTGCTGTAAATTTGCCTGCAATTCATTTATTTGTTTTCTATTTTTATTCTAATATTTCATTTTTGAAATAGGCTTTCTTATTTTATGTGTTTTATGCAATATACATTTTCTGGTCCCCTTATTTCTCTTTCTCTCCCTCTCTCCCTCATCCTTCCCTTTTTTCTTTTTCTCTCTCCTCTCTCCTCTCCTGCT